TATGAAAAATTATGACTTTTTGCCAAACTCCCACTAACAATGTATGAAAAGTCCAGTTGCTCCACATTCTTGACAAATCTGATGGTTTCCATCCTTCATTTTAGAACTTCTGAAGGGTAAATAAGGATATCACAGCAGTTTGAATTTTCCTGATGCCTAATGATATTGAGTATTTTTATATCTGTTCATTGGCCGGGTATATATATATTTTGTGAAATGCCTGTCCAATTAATTTGCCCATTTTTATCAGGTTTTTATTCTTTTATTATTAAATTGCAGGAGTTCTTTATACATCTTGGTTACTAGTCTGTTGTCAGATAACATCGGTTTTACGTATGATTTTATCCAGTTTATAGATTGCCTGCTTAACAGTGTCTATTTATAAGCAGTAGTTTTCTCAACAGTGTCTATTTATGAGCAGACGTTTCAAACTTTCATGAAGTCTGATTTATCAGTTTTTCTGAGTCTTGTCAAAGAAAACTTTGTCTATCCCTAAGTCATAAAGATACTCTCCTATATTCCTATTGAAAACTTTATGGTTTGTGTATTGTATAAAGTGGTAGTTAAAGTCCTTTTTTTCCCATGAATAACTATTTCAGCATCCTTAGTTAAAAGCCTTTCTTTCTGCATTGAATTGCTTTGGTTCCTCTGTCAAAAATTAGTTGGCCAGTAAAGTGTGCTTCTGAGCTCTCTGTTCTGTTCCATTCGTCATTTTTGATGGTTATGCCAGTACCACATTGTCTTAATTGCTTTAGCTTTAAAATGAAACTTGAAATCAGTGTAAGTCATCTAACTAACTATTCTTCTTTATCAGAATTGCTTTCTCAAAGTATTCTAGGTTCTTGCATTTATGTATAAAGAGTAGTCATTTTTTCAGTTTCTGCAAACGTCTTTCTATCGTGATTATGCTAAATCTATTGGTCAGTTGGGAGAGAATTAACATCTTCATATCCATAAATACCCATTGATGTGGGTCTTGTTTCTTTACTCTCAGCAATGTTTTATAGTTTTCAGTGTAAAGTCTTGTACATACTTTTAAATTGAATCCTCGGTATTTTTTGTTTTTGATAATCTGTAAAGAGTTTCTTAACATTTTACTTTCCAAACATTTGTTGCTAGTATATAAACAATAAAATTGATTTGTGTATATTTACCTTGACTCTTATGAGCTTTCTAAATTCACTTGTTAGTTCTAGCAGTTGTTTTATAGATTTATCAAGATTTACTATGTAAACAATCATGATACCAGCAAATAAATACAATTTCACCTCTTCCTATCTGTCTGCATTTTTTTTAATTTTTGTTTTTTGTCCTTTTGCAATGGCTATAATCTCAGTACAATGTCGAATAGGAATGGTGAGAGAAGGCATCTTTGCCTTGTTTCTAATCTTAGTGAGAATATGTTCAATATTTCACCAATAAGTATGATGTTGGATATAGCTTTTTAATAAATATCTTTATCAGATTGAGAAGTTTCTTTTATTACTAGATTGTTTTATTATTAATTACCAGATTGTCTTTATCATAGGATGTTCATTTTTTGTCAATTCCCTTTTCTCTTTGATACATGTTTCTTCTTACTTCTGTTAATGCAGTGAATATACTGTTGGATTTTTAAGTGTTAAACGAACTTTGAGATAATTCTGAGATAATACAAAAGTCATAATGTATTATTCTTTTCATATACACTACTGGATTTCATTTGCTTATATTTTGTTAAGGGTTTTTGAGGCTCTGTTCATCCAGGATTTTTTGTCAGTAATTCTCTTTCTATCTTTCTTTAATTTTTTTTTAGAGCAAGAGGAAATATTTACCAGATTTTGGCATTATGGTTTCATAAATGAGTGTCATAAAATGAATTAGAGTGTTTCTTCCTCCTTTATTTTCTGAAAGAGTTTGTAATCAATGTTATTTCTTATTAAATATTGAGAGAATTCACTTGAGAAAATGTTGAAACCTAGATTTTTCTTTGAGGGAAGATGTTTATTAACTTCTTTGACTCCACATTTACTTGGAGAATTTGGTATGTTTTTATTTGTGTGTTGGGGAAGGGATTTATATTAAAATCTACTATTCTTTTTTTTTTTCAGCTTTCTATTTAATGGAGCTCTCTGCTCTACTGAAGTGGAATCCCTTCCAACTTTTCCTGCCTTATTCTCTGACATTCAAAACCAGCCAAACACATGAAAGTCTTCAGTGTCCAGCAGGCCCTGCTGCTCAGTCTGTCCTGTCTTTGTCCTCAACACATGTCTTTCCCTGTAATATCTATTCCTCCCAGGATCCATGTATTAAGGTCCCAACTTTCTACCCTGTCATTTTACAAAACATATGATCTCCAACAAATATATTAAGGATGGCAAGATTTGGCTGCCTCAAAAAGCAATACTCACAGACTTGAGAGACGGCCATCCAACTTTTTAATTGCTGCGGATGCTATGTCTCTGAGCCAGTGCAAAGAGAGGGAGAGGGAAAGTGCGTCTCCACTTTTACGATGGCAGGGCTGCACTGTTTCTGTGTCTTCATTAGAGAGGTTAATTGGAAATCAAGAGAGGCTATGTCAGGGGCAGCAATAGCTATCCAGATGCCATTTTAAACTGGAATTTATCCAGCTGATTTCTTTGAAAACCTACCATGCTTTGCTCAATAGACACACTGCTGACTGGCACCAAGGAAATGACTGGTACATAAGCACACATTCAGCATTTACTAGTTCATTTTTCCCTTCCTCTGCTCCTTCAGCTGATCATGTCCTCAACTACACTTAGATATGAGGGATTCCATTCACTTAAGACTCAGTAATGGTTGAGAGCAATGGCTAAGAGTTCTGACTGAGTCTTCCTCAACTCATCTGCATTCCTGGTTTCTGCAAAGTTTTTATAAGATCCTGGAAATACCAGCCTACTTGAACCCATTCAGTTTTCTCTGGCTCATGTGCCTCAGCCATCAGCAAATTAAAACTTGGATGTGGATGTCAATGAAGGAAAGAGACAAAAAATACGCAAATGAGATAGTAGGGGTATGTGATGAAAGGGATGAGGGGCAAAAAGGTTCTACCTCCAGGCCTAGGAACATTCTGAATCTGATGCTTCCCTTTGGATTATAATCCCACAAGACACGATGCCAAATGCCATAACCCCAAATGTTTAAATCCCTGAAATCTACATTTCTAAAGTCTAAAATCCCAAAAATCACAATCACAGAATAATTGTATCAGGTTGGGGAGAACAGTTACTTTGTTAGTGTTACTTTGTTTGGAAATAAAGTATGGTTTAAGGAGATGCATATGGGTGCCAAGTTGACAAGAGGTGGACTTGTAAATTTCATTTAAGGTGTCAACTTGGCTGGATTAAGGAAACCTGATAAAGCATTATTTTGGGAGTGTCTGTGAGGATGTTTCCTGAGGAGATGAATCTGAGTCTGAGTGAACTCCGTAGGGAGGATCTGCCCTCAACCTTGGCAGGCACCATCCAGTCAGCCAGAGCAGAGAAGGCAAATTGATATCTCTCTGAGAACTGGGGCAGACTCTCTTCTGCTGCTTTGGATATCAGTACTCCAGGCTTGCCGGCCTGTGGACTTTAGATGTTACACCTACAGCCCCACAGGTAGTGAAGCTTCAGTTCTTGACTGATAAACCACAAGCTTCTCTGGTTCTTAACATAAAAACGTTTAAATTTCCTACATAGAATAAGAGATGTCATTTTTGTTCATCTTCATTTTTGAAAGCTAAAATTTCTTGAGATATCAGCTCTTTGCATGACTGCATATACAGTGGTGACCCATTGAGGGTTTTGATCAGTCTCATCAAAATACAGGTTGTCTGACCCAGTATTTCAAGTGACCACAGTTATATGCATTCATATGATTATATGCATTCATATATTTTATGCATTTATATTATATGCATTTATACATTCACACATTCATTTATATAATATGCATTCATATTATATGCATTCATACGTTTCACTTTTTGATCTATTTCTTTATGAATACAGTTTGTCTGATCATAACTGTTAAACTCCTGCAAATGTTTTTAGTATACCTGGGTGTTTATGCTTATAAAAAAGGTATATTATTATTCCTTATTTTATTGCATAAATTGGCCTATGAAGTGTTCTGTCATGTTTTTATATGTTTCTCAAGGAAAACCCTTTTTAAATGTAAACAAAAGGTTTTTAAATAATTTTTTATTATCTCTTCCAGAATTGTATTTTCAGGATTTTGATCTTTCGGGATTTCAATATTTGCAATTATGGCATCAAGATCGTATCTTCCAGGATTAGGATCAGCTTCTGAATGCTTACAGTCTAATGCCAGGGAAGAAAGCTAACGGTCAAAATATTTAAATAGCTTAGTCTTTTGATGAACAACTAACTCGGCTATTTGAGTTGCTAATGTCAGAGCAAAGACCAGATTTCCAGGAATAACATTCCTGGGCAAACTTGCTCAAATTTTAGATGTGTTTTTTAATGATCATGTATTGACAGAATAGAACAAGGATTTTATTAATTGATGTGGAGAAAAAAAATGGTTTATCTATACCTGTAATGTCTAACATGGTAACAACCAGCCCCATGTGGCTATTAACCCATATGAAATGTGGTTAATCCAAATTAATATGTGCTATAAATATAAAACACACACCAAACACACATACAAAGACAGGATGAAAAAAGGAATGTAAAGTATCTTACTAATAATGTCTCTTAGAAGTTGCATATTAAAATAATCATATTTTAGATTTATTGGATTAAATAAAATGTGTTATTAAAATTAATTCCACCTCTTTTTTTTTACTTTTTCAATGTAGTTCCTAGAAAATTTTAAATTACATACGTGGCTCATAGTATATTTCTATTAGGCAGCTCTAAACAATTAAAATATGGCAAAGCAATATGGAAAAAATATGGAAAAGTTCTTGAGCATTGTATGTTAGTTCACCAGGGCTGCCATAGCAGAGGACCACAGATTGACATAAATAATAGAAATGTATTTCTCACAGTTCTGGGGGCTGGAGTCTGAGGTCACAGTGTTGGCAGGGTTGGTGTCTTCTGAGGCTTCTCTCCTTGGCTTGCTGATGACAACCTCCTCCCTGTCTTCACACGATCTTCAGTACCTATTTGCATCCCAATTTCCTCTTCCTGTAAGAACATCAATCAGACTGGATGAGGGCCCACAGGAAAGAAAGTTCTCATTTAATCTTAATTACCTCTTTAAAAACCTTATCACCAAAAATGGTTACATTCTGAGGTACTGGGGGGTCAGGACTGCAAGAATAGGAATTTTGGGGGATGCAAGCCAGCCCATAGCAGCATGACATTGTCCTGGGTTTGGAGCAAACTTGTGTTCAGTATTTGCCAGCTATATGATCCTCAGCAAGAAATGTCCCTTCTCTTTACCTAAAATTTCTTACCGTTGAAACAGGGAGTTTATTCTATTTCATAATATGTATGTGTATATATGTATATAATATTTTATCTTCAGCATTCCTTCAAGTTATTAAGTATCTCCCTATAATATCAACATGAAGTTTGAGGGCTGCATTTTTCCACTTCTGCCACTATACCAACATGTATTTAACCAACACCCTTAGAGTATATCAAGTTGTTTCTAACTTTCTACTATTACAAACAGTGTGATAAGTCACAAGTCCATTGAGTCAGTGCCTGCAAAGTCATGCTTCCGCCAAAGGTTCCACTGTAGGATCATGCCTTGGATCTTCCAGGTTCTGGTGGCTCCTGATATTCCTTGGCTGGTGGCGGCATTGCTCCAATGCCTGCCTCTGTCTTCACATGGCCTTCTTCCTTGGGTCTCTTTGTATCTTCTCCTTTCCTGTCTCTTAGAAGGATACTTGTCATTGGATTTGGGTCCCACCCTAATCCAGGATGATCTCACCTCAAGCTCCTCATCTTAATTACATCTGCAAAGATCTCATTTCCAAATAAGGTCACACTCACGGGTTCCAGGGGCTGGGACTGGACATACCCCTTAGGGGAACAGTCTTCAGTCCATTATGCCTCCAGAGTAGGGCTCCTTTGACATTCCCCATGGAGACTATTCAGTTCCATTAGCTGAATGGTGAGTGCTACTGTCCCTACTATTTGGTTGCTCTTGGCACACAAGAAACCAAATAGTAACGGCTACAGCTAAATGAAGGAATTATCTGTCTTGTTTCTATGACATTAGAAGTTTCCCTTTTTTCATTTACAATAAACATTTGCTGCTATGCATAAGACAGTCTACTGGCTTAGGGTGAGCAGGGGGCAGAGAGGACCAAGTGTCACATGTTGAACATACAAGGCCCCCATCAAAAACCTCCATTAAAAAACTCAGATTTAAGAGGGAAAAAATGACTAAAATAAAATGATTTCAATATAAAATGAGCATTGATGAGAAATATAAGCCAAACTTTCTAGGGCATGTAAGAAAGGAGTGCACTATACTGCCTGGGAAAAACCAGGAGGGAGGAGACATTGGACATAGACAAGGAGAGATGATCATTATTGGTCCATCCAGTGGCTCAGGAGGGAAGGGCATTTCAGGCAGAGAAAACAGTGTGTTCTGGGCATAGACTCAGAAGTGTGCATGGGAAGTTTCTTGAGAAGGAGGGATGCCCAACATAGGCAAAGCGCAAGGCAGCAGTAGGGCCATATGCAGAGTGCCCAATTAGAAAGTCTTATTAAAAGAAAAAAAGATAAATTTGTAAATAACACAAAATGAGGGACAGTTCAGAGCCCCCACACACACACACACACAAACACACAAAATGCAGATCTCCCCCTCAGTAAAGGCCAAACATAAAAGGGTACTGCATAGTTCCATTTAAATGACGTTTCTAGAACAACCAAAATCTATAGTGATTTTTAAAAAGTTTTTCTGGGGCAGAGTGTGCAGGTAGGTTGCAGGTAAAAGGACAGGAAGATTGGTCTGGGGTGACAAAAATGTTGTATGCTTTGATTGCAGTGATGGTTGGTTACCCAGGTATATACACTTGTCAAAACTCACAAACACTCCCCTGAGGTGTGTGGATTTCATTGCATATTTATACCTCAATAACGATGATTTTTTTAAGTAAATAACTAAAAATGTAGGAAGAAAAGGGAATATTCATTTAGAATAAGAAATCACAACTCATTGTAAATTTTATAAATAAAAAGCTGACAAATACCAGAAACATCTCAGCCATTCAGGAAAATAGCCATATTATGCATTAATCAACTGCCAACATACTTCTATAATATTGTTTTTCCCGCTTGCTTTGGCTTCATTCTCTTTGTCTCCTCCCATGTCAGTAATATCATAATACGGTTTTTACTATTAGTGGTTGATCAGTTGGACAGTTGTTACTGGTAATTTAGAAAATGTCTCTCCACCTCCCAACTTTCTGCTTATATCCTCTATATGTTTGAAGGATTGTCAAAGTTTGGCCAAGCTTCCATCAAATTTTTTTCATATTTGAGCTCTGGAACTTGTAAGGATTTTTCCAGACTAGCTTCCGGCTCTGTATATTTCAAATGCAGTTTCTCCGCCATACTTCGGGCACCACAGAACACGTTCACATCGTGAAACAGCCTCTGGCCCCAAACCTTCACTTTGCAACATTCACACGTCACATGGGAGTCGGCATAGTAGTTGGTCCCAGTGTCCTTGGAAGTAGATTTCTACACTGGGATGATTAGCAATTACTTACCTGTATATGGAAGCGACTACAAATCACACAACTATAAATCCAAACTAAGTGTATCCCAACTCAATTTCTTCTTAGCCAGATTCCCAAAGTCCTTGGCACCACTCTGACAGTATAGAAGAGACGGAGGAATGGTACAAATATCAGACAAGAAGAGAGAGTGGTCTTAACCTAGGTCAGTTTAAATATCTTATTTTTGCAAATTTTGCAGAACCACACAGCCATGGGAATACCTTGCTAGGACCACTATTGAGGACTCTAAAGCAGAAACCTCAGGGCCTGCTCAGTGAAGCCGCTTCAGGGCAATGGGTGCAGTGGGTAATTTGGGGAAAGTGGTCAGCACCAGATTTGGAGAGCTTTTAGTCAGGTGGTGAAATCCAGCATTTAACCTCCAGGCAGACGGGCTCTATGACCGCTTTTCCTTTTATGAAGAGAACTGAATCACTTTGGTTTGGTGGGGGAACTCTGGCAGCCATGGAAAGGGTTGTTTCAGGGTTTACTGTCCATTTATTTCAGTTTCTTATTTTAACTCACAGCATTCCTCATGCAACACCCCTCAAAAAAAAAAAAAACAACTTACCTTTTCTATCTGTCTTTAAGTTAAGAAAACTATATTAAATACATTAAAGATAATTTTGGGGGAAGAAAGCCTAGCACTCCCTAGTACCATGGCCAATCAATTTCATCAAGCTAAACTTATTTAAGTCACTTAATCATTTAACTGAACAAAGTGGTTCAGAACACAGAGTACTAAGTAAAATTCCTCAGTTCAAAATTTGGCACCACAGCTTCCTAACTCTGTGACCGTAGGCAAATTATCTAAGCTCTGCAACCTCAGTTTCCTCATCCGTAAAACAAAATGAAAAATAATAGAAGCTAACAAGTATAGTCACTGTGCATATAAAGTGAGCTGATTCACTGGGAGCACAGGGCGCCATTTCTGACTCAAGCAATGTTAGCAGTGATGAATATCTTTGTCTACCCCTTCCCCAAGCAGATATGTTTTCTTGAGTTCCCACCTCTGCAGGCTCTTTTTCATGATTCTTTATCATTATGCCAGCCATTAAAATATTAAGAGCCAAGCTAAACATTCAACTGAAAACAGCTAATTGAATGCTTTGTGTGGCCCGTTTCCTGAGAGCACTTGAGGGGACATAGGGTGTCAGAGAAATTAGTCACTCAGAAGGGACACAGAAAGAGGGAAGCTGAAACAGACTGCATTAGTCAGGACGCCGGGTTTCAGGAGACGACAGCCTAACTCAAACATACTTAAGAGACAAGATTGGCCAAGTGCAGCGGCTCACATCAGCAATTCCAGTACTTCGGGAGGCCAAGGCAGGCTGATCACTTCAGGTCAGGAGATCGAGACAAGACTGCCCAACATATCAAAAGCCTGTCTCTACTAAAAATACAAAAATTAGTCAGGCGTGGTGGAGGGTGCCTGTAGTTCCAGCTACTCGGGAGACTGAGCAGGAGAATCGCTTGAACCCTGGAGGTGGAGGTTGCAGTAAGCTGAGATCGCACCACTGCTCTCCAGCCTGGGTGATGGAGGAAGACTCTGTCTCAGAAAAAATAAAAAATTAGACAATATTGGCTCCTACTACAGAAGGGAAATGGTGCTGCAGGCTTATCTGGATCCAGGAGATCAAATAATATTGTCAGGCATCTCCACTTTCTCTCAGCTTTGTGTGCCTCTGTGTGTTTCCTCATTTTCTCCTCCAGCTATTGTGATACAGAGGGTGGTGGGCATGTCCCCAGAAACCCCCAGGCTGACGTTACTGGTGTTTAGCAAACCCAGAGGAAGAGGGAGTATCCATGTAGCCCAACTGAGGGAAGAGCTTGTCAGCTTGCCTACTGTGGCCACAGATGGTAGGATTTTGTCCTTGGCAACCTCACCAGAACCCCAAGAAGGGGAGGGTGAGGTGACATTCCCAAGACAAAGTGTGAAGGGATGCAAAGCAGACAGATAGATGCCAATTCACAAGCGTTCTCAAGGCCAAGGTCAGTCATTGTATCTTCAATCACAATTTCCATTTCAAGACTCATTTCCCATCCACAGGATGTGGCTTCTTGGAGGCTTCAAATGGTGGAAGCTTGTCACCCACATGTTCTCTGCAGCAAGCCACCACCTGCTTTTTCCCAAGAGGCAACCTGGCTCAGAGGCCTGGGCCATGGCTGTGGGTGCCCAGTCAGGCACTGGGCGTTCTTGGGCCTGGGCTGTTGCTGAGTCAAAGGGCCGTGGGCCAAGGCTTGGGCTGCCCATCCTGCTCCCCTCAGATGGGTGGTACCAAATGCTCTCCAGGTGGTACAGGGCTGCTGTGCCACTTTAATTGGAGATGATGATGGTGAAACCTTTGGGGAAAATTCAGGTGCCAAATGCCTCTCCTAGAGGTTCATTAAAAGCGTCTGGTAGTTGACCAACCCAAATAGCAGGCATCTCTGGGGAATTTCCCA